AGAGGCCGGGCGTGGTGGCTCACGCCTGTAATCCCAGCACTTTGGGAGGCCGAGGCAGGTGGGTCACCTGAGGTCAGGAGTTCGAGACCAGCCTGGCCGGCATGGTGAAACCCCGTCTCTACAAAAAACACAAAAATTAGGTAGGCATGGTGGCACATACTTGGGAGGCTGGGGCAGGAGAATTGCTTGAACCCAGTAGACAGAGGTTGCAATGAGCTGAGATTGTGCCACTGCACTCTAGCCTGGGAAACAGAGCAAGACTCCATCTCCAAAAAAAAGAAGAGAGAGAGGGAGAATGGGTCTAAAACAAAATCTGGAAGGATGGCCACGTCAGGAAGCCACAAAGAGAGAATGGAGTCTATAAATGTTGGAGAATGATGTAATTCCCAAGCATCCCCATGAGAGGTAGTAGGGTGGTGAAGCTCATGCACTCTGTAAATCATTTCCCCTGAGTTCACGGTTTAGAGTCTCTATCTATTAATTGTGTTGGCTGTGTGACCTGGGGAAGTTACATCTCTAAGCCTCAGTTTTCTAATCTATACAGTGGGATGATAGTACCTACCTCAAGAGTTGTTGCAAGGACGAAGTGAGGCCATCCATGTAGCATGCCTCCCTGCCTTCCTGTTGGTATGGTGTGTGTGTGTGTGTGTGGGGGGGGGTTGCTGCCTCTACATATGTTTTTTTCCATTTTGTTTTCCACTTTATGACTCTTTCTAGGATGACTGAAGGCTCCAGAAGGCTCTGAGTTCTGTTCTGCTGTTTGTTTTTTTAAAAATTTTTCTGCTTTCTTTAGAAAAATCATCAGTGTGAGGTGGTGTCCTTGGCTGAATACCTCCAGCTCCTCCAGAACCTGTCTGCTGGCCAGGCTGAGAATCACGTATTTGTGCTTTTCTAACCAGGGTAGGGAACAGTAGAGGTTAGGAGCCTTGTGCCTAGAGCCAAGCTAACCAGCTTTTTTTTTTTGGGAAGAAGAGACCAAATCTTCCCTGGGAGGGTAGAGCCTGTCTTCTGCAGTGCCCCAGATAGCAGCAGCCTGAGCTGCTGCCTTTGTGGCCTACTTCCTTTTGTAATTTGCACAATATGCCAGAAGATGGGGCTCTTGACCCTGGAGTCAAGGGCCAGCGGTTCTGACTTTTTTCACATTTGAACTGGAGAGAAGTCAGATCCACCAGAGCTCACAGGAATCACCTCTACTCAATTCCTTTCCCTACCCTACCTACTCTACTTCTGCCATGACTGGGACCTGCCTTCTAGGCGAGTGGGGGATGTGGGCACATCTTTCCTTTGGCTACTGTCCTTGGCTCCCCCTGAATGACCACATTGCCAGAGTAAGTCTTTCTGACCCCCTGCCTCAGGTTTTCCCCTCTAATCCATTGTCCCCTAATGGCAGATTTGGAAATGGTACCTTTTTTCCTTTTTTTTTGAGACTGAGTCTCATTCTCCTTGCCCAGACTAGAGTGCAATGGCGTGATCTCTGCTCACTGCAGCCTCTGCCTCCCAGATTCAAGCGATTCTCCTGCCTCAGCCTCCCAAATAGCTGGCAATACAGACATGTGTCACCACGCCCAGCTAATTTTTTTTTGTATTTTGAGTAGAGATGGGGTTTCATCATGTTGGCCAGGCTGGTCTCGAACTCCTGACCTGATCACTCAGGTGGTCAGCCTGCCTCGGCCTCCCAAAGTGTTGGGATTACAGGCATGCGCCACCGTGCCTGGTAGATGGTACCATTTTTACAGGCCAATACAACATAGTGGTCAAGAACTCTAGAATCAGAGAGCTTGCCCTAACTCATCTCAGGTGAATCTTTCCTCAGTTCCTCAGAGAAGCTCTCCCTATCCCATGGCAGTTACTCTTTATCACATAACCCTTTATTTACTTAATAGTAGTGATTATAACTAGTGATTATCTTGTTTGATGACTTGTTTACTTTCTCCCACTATATTGTAAGACTCATGAGGCCAAGGACACTTTTTGTCTTCATTGCTATTTTCCCACACCTAACACAGGGCATGATATATAAGTTCTCAGCAAGTGTTTTGAATTAATAGGTGAATGACGGAATCCCAGCTTCATGACTGCCTGACCTTGAGAAAGTTGCTTAACTTCAATGAGCCTCAGTTTTCTTGCCTGTGTCATAGAAAAAGAGTAGAGACATGACGACTATTAAATGATACAATGCCTTTATACCACTAAACCCATGTTCCGGTGTGTAGAAATTTTCCTTAAAGCCTTCAGTGTCCTACTTTTTATCATATAAGAAAAATAAAGTGTGGGCCGGGCGCGGTGGCTCACGCCTGTAATCCCAGCACTTTGGGAGGCCGAGGCAGGTGGATCATGAGGTCAAGAGATCGAGACCATCCTGGTCAACATGGTGAAACCCCATCTCTACTAAAAATACAAAAAAAAAAAATGAGCTGGGCATGGTGGCACGTGCCTGTAATCCCAGCTACTCAGGAGGCTGAGGCAGGAGAATTGCCTGAACCCAGGAGGTGGAGGTTGCAGTGAGCCGAGATCGTGCCATTGCACTCCAGCCTGGGTAACAAGAGCGAAGCTCCGTCTCAAAAAAAAAAAAAAAAGAAAGAAAAAGAAAAAAGAAAAATAAAGTCTGAATGAGTTATCTAGATCTCCACAATTTGATTATAGCCTTTCCTTTTTTTTTTTTTTTTTTTTTCCCCCTGAGACAGGTCTCCCTCTGTCACCCAGGCTGGAGTGGAGTGGTGCTGAAGCCTCTTCTGGTCTCAGGTGATCCTCCCACCTCAGCTTCCTGAGGGGCTGGGACTACAGGTGCATGCCACCGTGCTTGGCTAATTTTTTTTGTATTTAAAAAATAGTGATGGAGTTTCTACATGTTGCCCAGGTTGGTCTCGAACTGCTAGGTTCAAGGAATCCACTTGTCTTGGCCTCCCAAAGTGCTGGGATTACAGGCATGAGCCACCGTGCCCAACCCACAGCCTTTTTCTATTACAACTTTTACTTCCCACTACTCTTCTTATTAACTTTCTGCTTTGGCCCAAATTGTGGCTACCCTGAATGGGCCATTGTGCATTATTATTCTTAAGTCTTTGCCTAAGATTTGAGATGCTTGCTCTTCTTACCTTGGGTCAACTAAATCTTACCCATGTTTTTAGACTGAGCTCAAATCCGTGTCCTCTGTGAAACCTTCATGAAGATATTTTCTCTTCCGAATTTCTGTAATCTTTGTGGTTTATATATATTACTCATTAACATATATCCTGTTTCCCTGATTAGCCTGTTAAGCTCCCTTGGAGATATATAGTTTAGATTTCTCTGCCTCTACAGTGTTACTTGGGCCTGTTCATTAGTAGGTGTTCAATACATTTTTTATTAGATTGAATTAAAAGCATACTTATTTACTAGGTACTTTCTATGTGCCTGGCAGTCTTTGAGGTTCTGTTGAGTATACAGAAGGGCATACAAAATAATCATTGCTTTCAAAGAACTTGCAATATTCTAGTAAACTAATGTCAACATATAAAGTACTTGAATAACCACAGCATGGCAATTGCTTTAAGAAAGATATGAAGTGCTTTGAGAATTCTGGGGAGGGTGAGATAACATCTGTTAGGGGTGTCAGGGACAGGAGAATAAAGAAAGGCTTCTTGGAAGAGGTGGCTTTTGAGATTAACTTTGAAGGATGGCTAACATTTTGATGGGAAAAATGGGGATGAAGGTAGAATGCAAATTCCAGATTCAAGATGACAGGATTAGTAAAGAGATGCATGGAGTATGTGGCAATGAACACTAAAACTCAGAGAGTAGACATGAGGCTTATATAAGACATCAGAAATACAATTCGGCTTCAGGGATACTGAAGCCCAACCTTGTTTCCAATTTCAGGACCAATGCAAGGGATGGTAAACAGGGATGGAAACTTTTAACATGTATCGGACTATGTTCCCCATAGCTTCTTTGGAGGCTGATCATTATTTGCAACAATTCCTCCCCCACCCTCCACTCCCCCAAATGTGGACCTACCTGAAGTCTGGTATGATAGTGCATGTGAAACAAAAGGCCTATTTCTTTTTCTTGGGGAGAGAGGGTTGCTTCAATTTTAGCCAGCCTCTGTTATAAATCCAAATCAAATTGAACGCATTATTCATGATAGTCTAACCTTTTGTTAGGTCAGTAGTTCTGTTGTTAAATAATAATTTGCCTTAGATCATTTCCTGGAAAAGTTGGAAGTCTTTTTGCGGAATCGCTTCAGCAATCATCCTTAGCTGAACCCTTTCTGTGCTTTTTGCTTCTGACTTGGGACTCAAGAAGAAGACCTAAGTCATAGTAAGTCTGTGAGGGGGCCTGACACTGCCTGCCTTCTTCACTTTAATGATCTTTAATCTGGCTATTAGCTCAAGGAAAAACAATTAATTTTAGAAGACCCTCTACCCTCATCCGCAATTACTTCCTCCTGCAATCGCGAAGGATGTTTCCCTGGAATTTAACCATCATCTCCCAAGGAATGAAATCAGAATAGGCAAAACCGACACTTTCTCAGTTTTCAAGGGTCAGGTGCAGCTGCAAATAGAAGCAGAGATCTTCTAGCACGCAGTTGGAAGGACCTTCACGCCCCGAGGCCCCAGAAGGGAGGGAGGCGGTTTCCTCGGCAACCGGGCCCGGGAGCGGTTGGCTCCCCGGCTCCTCCCACTCCCCCGCGGTAGCCCAGGGTACCGCCGGACAGCGTCCTCCTGTGCTCCGCGCCCTGATTGGCTGCCCAGGCCGCTCGCTGATTGGCTGCGGACGATGCCTCGCGGGCCGGTGGCTATGGAGGCGGCGGCGGTTGATGGTTGACCGTTGGCTCCGGGGTAGGGGTCGCGGTTCGAGTGATCTGCTCAGACCCGACCAGAGGGCGCGGGCTGCTGACGCTCAGCCTGGAGCCCGCGGGGGAGACCTAGTTCGGCTCCACCATGCCGGCCGCCGGGAGTAACGAGCCGGACGGCGTCCTCAGCTATCAGGTAGGGCCCCGCCTCCCGCGCCTCCCGCCCCTCCCCGGGGCGCAGCCTTCTCATCCTCTGCCCACCCTCCTCCCTTCTGCCCCCGAGCCCAGCTTCCCAGGCCCTTCCTTGAGGGCATGGGGAGGCCAGCCCGCGACACCAGGGGGCGCTCTGGGCGGTTGGGGACCGGGCCGGGGCTGCGAGAGGGTGACCTTGGGCTGAACCTGGGAGCTGGCCCATCTCTGCTGCATCCCTAGCGCCGCCTGCCCAGGAGCCCTGACAGCCGGCGGGCGGCGACCTCTTGTTCTCCTCGCGTCTGTCTGTGGAAGCGGCGGCGTCTGGCCTCTCGTGGTCCTGCCCGAACGTGGGCAGAAATGATAACCAGGGACCTTGCTCTGGTGGGGCACGTCTTCTCTTTGTGTTTTTATTTCTGGAGGTTTCTGGTTCTTCAGTGGTTCAAAGGAAGAGCCAGAAAAGACTGTGGAGGCTGGGACCAATCCCTGATAGGGTGACCCGGTTTGTGACTCCCACTTCCCCATTGCACAGCCACCTGAAAACTTCTGGGTAGGGACTACAAACTGGGCTGAGGATGTGTGGAGGGGTCAGGAACAGGTGATGAGAAAAGCAGGGTAAAGTAACTGATATTAGAACTGTTGGGGTGGCTAATGTAAGGAAAAACATTGGACTATGTGTTAGAGTCTGTAGGTTGAAATCCTACCTCTGCCTCACACAGACTTGGTGACCTTGAGTAAGTCACTTGCCTCTTTGAATCTCAGTTTCCCCAACTATTAAAATGGTAACGGTAATGTCTGCTTTGCTTGCTTCACAGGGTTGTTCTGAGGATCAAGCGAAGTGCTACTTGTGAAAGGGCTTTGTGAAGTAATGTTTATTGTGTGACAGTGAGTGAGTGGCAGCCCATTGAATTTTCACTCCTCTACTGTGCAGTCAGATGGTGTGGTTCCTGCCCTGGGAAGAGGGCTGGGAGGGGAGGCAAGTCTGAAGTGGAGGGCTCTGAAGAGGGTGATGGGCCACCTCAGGAAGGATTGCATGTCTTGGAAACAATTGCCATTGTTGACCTGGGATGGGTTCCCAGAGGAGGTGGGGGAAATATCCTGAGTTTGCAACAAAATGAGTATCAGACACTGACTCTCTCTTCCTCTTCCTGGTTAATAGTTTGCTGCTATTAACAGAAGGCATATCCTTCTTTGCTTGCTCTGTCAAAAAAGAACAATATCTAAAATTTTAGAAAATCCATATCTAATTCTCTTAAAGCCTATTAGATGTATTGAATCTCTGTTTGCAATGCAATGGTAAGAAAAAATGGGCGATGTTCTTGCCCTCCTGGAGCAGATCATCTAATCGGGGAAGGGACAAGTACTATTTTTAATCAAATATCACACAGGTAAATATTATAAACTGTGATAAGCACTTTGAAAGAAAGATAGGCAGTGCTATGAGCGTATATAACAGTTGTTCCAGCCATGGTCTCACAGAAGATTTTGCTAAGGAAGAAAATCTGGGCAAAGAGCTAAAGGATGAATAAATGTTAACTGAGGGAAGAGGGGGATCAAGGGGCCCGAGAGGCAAAGAGAACAGCTACACAAAAGACCTGTGGCAGAGGGGGACACACCTGGTTAGAGACCTGAAAGAAGGCCAGTGTGGTGGAGCACAAGGAGCAATGAGGGGAATGGTATGTGAGATATATTCTGGAGTCATAACACACAGGGCCAATTGGAGCCCATACCAAGAAAGTTGACATTTATCTGAGGAACAAGGGGAAGCCACTGGAGGGGGTTAAGTCTAGAAGAGAGGGGCCTCTCCTAATCAGAAGAAAGAGAGAGGGCACGAGAGAGCAAATGAGATCATGAACAGATTTTCCTGTTGAAAGATTTCTGACTGTGGTGGGGAGAATAGGTTGGAACAGAAGTGAGGACACAGTGTTCTTAACATGCAGAATGTATACAGGTTGTATTACTGAGGGCATGGTGACCCTTAGGTTTCTGTTAGTGTTGTGTGAAATTAATAATTCTTGAGTACTTCTGGAGTAGGATAGAAAATATCTCCTTTATATCTAGTTTATAAAACTTACATGGGTGGTAGGGTGAGAAGAAAAAAAGGAATACATTGGGAACAGTAGGACCTCATGAAGGCTGGAGTTGGGTAATGGGCAAATGGGAACTTGAGAGATAGAGAGGAAAAGAGAATGACGGTAGGAGGAAGGGAAATGGGGATGACTCAGGGGAGTGACAGTAAACTGATTGGCAATGACCAACTAAGCCTTCTGTGTGCCAACTAGGCTGTGTGGAGATGGGCCTTGTAAAGTGAGTAGATTATGTAACTTGATGTAAACAGAGAGGTTCCAGACATCACATCTAAATATCATAAGGCTGCGCTATTTTGTAAGATGTGAGCTACTGCCCTGGCCTTCTAACAGTTCCCTCTGTTTTCCTTCTTGCCTTTCTGTAAGTCTGCTCTCCACATGGCAGCTGCAGGGAGCTTTTAAAAACACAAATCAGATCATGTCATGTCTTATCTTGAAACCCTTCAGTGGCTTCCTGGTGCATTTTAGAATAAAATCCAAACTCTTTTATCATGGCCTACCAAGCCTGAATCCAATCAGGGCCACCTTCCCAGGACTGCCTCTCTTCCACTCTTTCTTGCACCTCCTCTGGCTTTCTGTTTCTTCAATATAGCAAACCCTGCATACCTCAGGAGCTTTGTTCTTGTCATCCCCTCTGCTTAGAATGCTGTTTTACCAAGGACTTCTCATGATTCAACTGGAATGTCATTTCCTCAGAGTGGCTTTCTCTGACCTTCATCCCAGTCACTCTCTTTAAGATGATCTTGTTTTCTTATAACACATGACTTATCTGAAATGTTCTTTTGGTTTCTTGTTTATTATCATCTCAGTTAGAAGCTTCTTGAGGGCAGGAGACAGGCAGAAAAATCTTATCATCTGCATAATGCCTGGTATAAAATTGGTACTCAATTGCATGAGTGAATGAACAGTGCTCCGGTATCCAAAGCCAGGTGCCTCCCCTTGAGGAGCTCATGGTCTAGTCAGGATTGGCACAGAGTGACAGACGGTCATCCCTTCATCACACAACATCTTGTCTCTCTATGCTACTGTGCCTTTGCTCAGGCGTTCAAGCTGGAAAATCTTTCCCCTCCTCTCCGCCTAGAAAATTCCATTTTAACCTTCAAGGTCTGGCCCCATATCATTCTCTTATATTCGTCACTCGCTCTCCTCTGCTCACAACACCTACCAAGTGCTATCTTCCCCCAACTCTTACTTATGGAATATACATATTCATCTCTGCTTTTCACCTGACAGCTTCATTTGTTGTTACTGTTAACTTTATTGAGTGCTTGCCATGTGCCAGGCACCACGTTAAGTGTTTTCCGTGCATTGCCTCACTTAATGCTCTCTATAACCTGAGAATTATGCAACTTTGCTATTGTTTTCCAATTAGAAAAGAAAGATAAGGCCGGGCGCGGTGGCTCACACCTATAATCCCAGCACTTTGGGAGTCCAAGGCGGGTGGATTACAAGGTCAAGAGATCGAGACCATCCTGGTCAACAAGGTGAAACCCCGTCTCTACTAAAAATATAAAAATTATCTGGGCATGGTGGTGCGCGCCTGTAGTCTCAGCTACTTGGGAGGCTGAGGCAGGAGAATTGCTTGAACCCAGGAGGCGGAGGTTGCGGTGAGCCGAGATCTGCCATTGTACTCCAGCCTGGGTAACAAGAGCAAAACTCCGTCTCAAAAAAGAAAAGAAAGATAATAAAGAGGTTAAGTAATTCTAAATGCCAGAGTTGCTTGTGGCCCTGCCAGATCCAGGGCTGTGTCTCTCCAAAGGATGTGCCCTTAATCACTGTGCATTAGTGGGGCTGAGTCTTTGATGCCTCTATCAGTACCTGGCTTTGAATAAGCTCTTACTAAGTGTTTGGGAAGACAGAATGGGAAGAGACTGGAATGAGGGAGCCCAGTGGTGTAATTCAGGATGATTTCATGCAGACCTGCATTATTGATCATTTTGATGAGATCTCTGAGGATGGTTATGGAATTTTTATTTATTTTTGAGACAGGGTCTCTGTTCACCAGGCTGGAGTGAAGTGCTGTGATCTTGGCTCGCTGCAGCCTTGACCTCCTGGGCTCAAGTGATCCTTTCACCTCAGCCTCCCTAGTAGCTGGGACTACAGACCCGAACCACTATGCCCAGCTATTTAAAAAAGTTTTTTTTATAGAGGCAGAATCTCACTGTGTTGCCCAGGCTGGTCTTGAATCCCTGGTCTCAAGTGATCTTCCCGCCTTGGCCTCCTGAAGTGCTGGGATTATAGGCATGACCACCATGCCCAGCTGGTTATTGAAATGTTAAGAGTCAATGAGCTTTAATGGGGGGTAGCAATAGAGAAAGGAGGTCAGAAAGCTTTAAGGAAAGCCTCTACTTTGGACTGGAACTGGGGACACCTAATAGCTTCATGGTTCTCCTGATAGCACTTTCAGAACCAAGCAGAAGGAAGTGCTGAAAGAGAAAACTGGTGAGGTTGGAACCCTCAGCATTTGAGGCAAGTGGTGCTGGGAACTGAAGGAAAGTTCAGGGAGGGTGAAAGTGGTAGATGAGGAAGCAAGTAAATTTGGGCAATTACCAAGGCTTTTATGTGGATCAGGTCTGCTCAGAATGGAAAATTTTGCAGAAATCTTCAGAATCATAACCTCTGAAGGTAAGTGGGTGATAATTGAGAAATATGGCTGATGGGAATAGAGTTACACCCCGTGTCTTATGATGGACCTGAGAAAGCTCTAAGAAGAGTTCTGGAGGAGACCTGGATTCTAGTGCCCAGTGACTGTGGCACATGTTGAAGCTCAGTAAATATTTGCTGAGCGAATGAATGAATGGCCCTGTAGGCAGTGGGTCAACTTTTCTGAGGGTCAGTTTATGGTAAGCAGTCAGTAAATATTTGCTCAATGTTATTGAACAAAAATATCAACTGTAGATAGCAGTTTCTCTTCTTACCACATTGCACATACCCCTCCACCCTCTCCTCACACATACTAGGTATTCTCTCCATATGTGAGAATTGGGGAACCTGTGGGCATCCTTTTTTATCTGGTTTTCCCAGATCTACTGGGGAGCTTCAGCAGGAGAGATGTGGGCTGACTTGCCAAGCAGAGACTTGAGCAGAGAACTGGGGACAATTCAGATGGCAAATTCACTTCCTTCAAAATCTGTAGATAATCGTCTTAGCTTATGGTTTGCCTTGGCAGGGTAGACAGGGTCATGGTAGTAATCAGGACACAGACAAGCAATCGTGTCTATTCTAAATCTGCTGCCAGGTAAAAGCAAGAGATATTAGATAATAGAGAAGCTGGTTGTTTCCCATAGGTAGTAACAA